AGAATTACCACCTGGAATCGGAATCAACTTTAGGCGATAGATTCCCGATTCCGATTCTAAGCCAAGAATCGATGGAATCAAGAATCGAAGATGGAATCGACCCATCCCTAGTTTCAACACACGGAAAAAACTCCATGTTTCACCGATCATGTTGTTTATGTTTGCCATGTATTTTATAAATATGCAAAGAAAGAGTTTTTATTGATTTTATTTACAATTTAGTGATTATAAATGGCTTAAATACATTTTTGTATTATTATATGTACAAAACACAGTGTTTGTCTAATTTTCAACACCCGGAAAAAACTCTATGTGTCACCGATCATGTTTTAAAATCAAAGACACCGACGATGGGTTAAACTACACAGGAAAGTTTGTTGGTGTCTGATGTGACCAAACAAGGTTATATATTAGTACAATTAATTAACATGTTACATAATTTAATATCTAGCAACATTTAGATAGCCAATCATTAATCATGGAAGTACTATCTTTGCACTTTTTGTTTTACTAGGGTCCCTGTTGCTCGAAATGGAGCAATTGTTAAGTATTACAGGCGTTATTTTAACATTTACGATTTTTGATGATTTTAAAAGATTCCACTCAAAGATTGTGGAATTCTCAAGATGTACGTAACAGATCGACATAATCAACATTTCTTGTAAATATCTTATCATTTTTCAAAAGCTGATCTGGTTTTTTAGTGTTTTCTACAAATAGCCTTGCATAGCCGCATTAATTGACTGGGAAGGGTGGCGTCGTCCTGTAATCCAGCAACTAGGAGGTCACGAATTGTGGATATTTATAGGCATGCACTGTGGATGCGATACTTCCTGGTGTGGATTAACGTCCGCACGAGTGAGTACTACGACTATCCGCAGTGCTATCCTGATAATTAGACCAATGCGTATATACTAAGGAAAAATGTGGTTCGGATTCCACTATAAACTGTAGGTCCCTTAGTTGCCATTAGCTGTATGGGCTATTAATTAACAGCTGTGTCTAAGGAATGTCGACCTTAGTCACTAACAAGACTACAAGATCGCGCCACTCATCCTACACTCATCTCCATTCATACTTGGCTTAAAAAATACCTACTTTGTATGGTCGCCATTTCATTGAACAGTATTAACAGTATTAGGTTGTCCATAATAACGATTATAAATATAAAAAAAAACATTTCTATTTCTTCTTGGTGGTGTTGTATGACTTTCCTATGTTTCCATAGTTTGCAAATCGGCTCTTTCAATGATTACTAAGAAATGCAGCACAGTGTTAATTCAGTTTTCTTTTTAGTATATCAATTTATCCAGGCTCTCTTGTTTTTTTTCCATTGTAATATTTACGCCAAACCAAATTTAAATAGTAAATATTTCATTTCAACTTCTCACTTTTAATTTCTGACAACAACTGGAGTTCCATAACAATATTTGTTTCCCATGTTAATCTTATGGAGAAATACGAAACTTTAAAGGGTCCCAGGGCCTCACCCTCTAATTATTTCCCTAAAAAGAAAAATTCCTGAACAACTTCACATTACGCTCTTTCCAATGAGACCAAAAACATGTCAATCGGTTCTATAGTTTCGGAGGAGTAATTGTCACAAAAAACCTGCATGCGTATTAAATAAGTATAGATAATATGATCAAAGAAGTTAACATTATGTATGCGACATTATTACATGTATGACGTTTCTAAAAATTGCTTCAAGACCTTGATAATGTAATTTTTCTTTAGAAACTAGGCAGTTGGAAACAGATTTTTAAAGGCTGTTGACATAGGCCTAGGATTTTTTTTTAAGTATTTATGTCTGAAATTGTTTTTTGGGGTTTTCCAAGCCAATGGTTCACTGTTTTAAATATACACTCCTTATGGAAGTAAAATGGTCCATTAAAATCCAAAACCAGCTTACTAAGTAAACAATCATAAATATATATGCTTAAAATTTCTTTTTTTGTAGTAAAGAAGAAAAAATGTATCAAACACACTAGTTAAATAAATAACACTCATACTTACGAAACCAATGTATTTTATAGTAATAATATTTTCACAAATCCACAAACTCCCAACCCAACTAAGCTACACAAGCCATTTTTACCGAGGACTCCAGCTTTGATCTGTCTGTATTAGTCATTATTTTGTCTAGATATCTCCGCAATGGGGTGTTCTACTAATATAGTCTGATACATGCCATGTCGTTATTCAAATTATACTTGTCCATTGTGACTAAGTGGCTGAGTTGTAGATAGGAATTTGGAAATGTATCATCAAAATTGCTAATGGCCAAAGTTTATCAGCTTGTGTCGTTCACCCCTCTCCTCCTTAGAACTTGATTATAACAAATTAATAAAAAATCCATAATTGATTTTAAAATACAGTGTTATTAGGTTTGTTATTTTTTCAGTGTGGGCTGGGGTTAACAGTTCTCAGTGTTGCATGTGTTTTTCTGAAACAAAAAATTGTAATTTTTTAAAAATATAATTGTTAGCTTAGGAATAGTTAAAACATACTCCCTTAGTAGATTTTTCATCCTTACGGAACAGCTGCAGCCAATTTTATTGTTATACTCCTCCATTCATAAAATTTAGGTGGTTTTAGGGGAAGAAATCTATCCCCTCCACGTCTTGATCCTATCATTAAAACATAGCTCAACAGTTGAGATTTGCCAAAATGTTAATCACCTGCAACATACATTAACTAGGAAAAAAGTGGTGGGGAAACTTCCTCTAAAACTGCCTAAATTTTGTGAAAGAAGTATAGTTCTGTCCGGTGCACTGTAGCAGTCGCGTTTTGTTTTAAATTTGATCTTGTTATTTCAGTCTTTTAAAACCTCGTTTAACCAAATAAAACTATCTAATCATGAACATTAACTCTTCCCCTATTATATAACCAAACAGTAAAGCACAAATCATGAAATTATCCCTACATTAATAGAAACAAAATTTTGTCGACACTAGTAATCAGTGTTACCAACATGAACTAGACACAAAAAACGAGCTTCAAAATTTACAAGGGGATGAGAAGTCTACTTGTGTTGGTTAGTCTATTGATAGTACATAGGCCTACTCATAATTACAAGTTACTCAAATACTACCTGTTTTCAATGTGTTTTCATTGCATGGACCCTTGCAATACATTCTAACAATGTAATGTGAAGGGTAAGCTTTTTCAACAACAACAGTTTTTGTTCTATGTATGTAGTAGAACAATATATAAATTATTCAGACCACAAGATTTATCAAAGAGTTTTTTGTAGAAACTCTAAAAAAAACTACTTAAAATAAGCTAGGATCTTTCATTTACATCTTGATTTTATTGAATGGGTTGCCGGATCATTTAATTTTTTTTATAGAAATTGGCTGTAAAACGAATAGTTTTGTTTTTAGATTACTTCACATATTCTTTAGAATGTTCATACCTTCGTATGAATGTCTAAATGTCTGAACGGTTGAGAAAAACAATCAAAATCGGTACCCTTCCTTCATTGGAGTAGCATAGAGCTACCAGGAGGCAGTGATGAGGCTTTTGTAGGGGGGAGGGGGTTGTACAACACTTAGTCTAGTTGAGGGACTAGAACAATTACAACAGATCTTGATCTGTGTTACTCTTTTTCTAAAGACTCACAAAAATATACAATTGACAAAAATATACTGTTGATTAGTGCCTGAGCAGAACGGTAGATTAATGTGTTATCATGAATTCAAATTAGTACCCAACAAATCATCAAGAAAGGAAAACAAACTAGTAATTTGTCAAATTGGGATCTCAAATCTCAAATCCACCTATCTTTGAAAAGTTTTGGGTTCAAGATTTGATAGGCCAGTTTCGAGATTCAAAAATAAGTATTGATTCAATTTAGTATTGATTTTATATTTATATTGATATTTATAAATATCAGTGTCAGGGGTTAAATGTTTTCCAGTGTTTGTTGTCCATGAAAAATGAAGTTACACGATCATGCGGACAATCTAATCTTCTTTTGCAATTACGGTAAAACCTTGAATATCTCTCACGGTCTTTAAGGCATCATTATCGTTTCCCATGGTAATGGAGACATCAATATCGTCTTCTGTGAAAAATCGTTTGGCAAAATCGTAATCATCTTTTGCAGTCACAGGACATGATATCAACATCTCCCGCGATCATGGATAATATCCAAACATCACCTGCGGTTGTGTAGACATCATTATCGTCCTCTACGATTGCTTCAACATTTTGAACATCTCCCGTGATTTTGTAGGAAACGTAACCGTCTGATCAAAATCAACCATGCATCTAAACCGTGAACATCTTCCATAGACGCGAATAGGTCTGCATCATCTTTGTTCCCTGCAATAACAGCAAAAGCGTGAATTTCTCAATCTTCGTAGGCAAGTCCTGCTATTGCAATAATATCACACTAGTAGAAATCAGCTCAGGCTCAATTTTCTGACTATCACTCGATTCGGCTCTGCTGGAAAATGGTGGAAAATGGAGCCGCTCGCTCACCTACAATCATACGTATTGAATATTTTATATCAGGTAGCAGTTCTTCAACCCAAGGACCAATTAATTTGAACCACTTCTCTCACATGTTTACTTTTTAAAGTGACCAGTTATAAATAACACTGACTTTTCGAACAAATGTCTTCTATTACAAATTTCAATAGGCATTGTTCAAGTAGCACTATTTTTTTTTGTATACTGGTATAAACTGACAAACGATTCTAGTAACTATTATATATTCCTCTTTTGCTGGAAAACAATAATTATTTTTGTTACAAGTGCAACATTTGTCTTATACCAAGTAGTCTTTAGAGAACAAAAAAGAAGAAAAAGGCAATTTACCGAAACAACATGATCCTTCAATGTAATGAATGAAAGTTTAACAATTGTCCATGTTACCAATTAGAGGAACGTGGAATGATGTATCGTATTCGCAATTGGTTGGAGTTTGGTGAGTAGCGTAGAGAGTGCTTGCTTGTTATCTGCTTGCTCTGTATGTTGCGTCGCTTTCACAGGAAGACCTCACCCTCACCTCGGTCTGCTGTCACCACTGGCTGCTTCGGCACTCACTCCAGGTACGCCACACTGCAAACTCATTATATGTGCTTTGTCCATTACACAGTTAAACAAAAACTCTTCTCAATCAACCAATTATGAAGAAAAATGAACATGTTGTATAGTCAAGGCAACTAACTAGTATGTAGTAGCTGTTGAGCAATGAGCACTCATCTGTGGTCTTATAATATGAAATGTTTTTAAATAGTCTTGGCACTGATTGTATATGTTGTAACTAGTAATACGAGTTAAAGTAGAAACATTTCAGGATTTGCTTGGATATATTTATTATTATAAATTTCTAAACATAACAAACAAACAAACTTTTAAATTACTTGGAAAGGGAAAATATGCTTCTCCTAAATTTTACTAAAACATATTTAATGACTTGACTAAACTGATTTTGTGAATGTTTTTTGTCGGTTTTATTTCATCACTTACTTAGCTTTGTGAATTGTGCTGCCTTCATTATGGTTTCCAACTATGAAGGAGCTCCATGAGGTCAGATCAACTGTAACAAGTGACACACTACTATACTAACACACACAGGACACTAACAGGGCATAAATCTGAATGTTTCCTCCCAATGGCATATAATATAAGATTTTCGAGCAAAGTTCTTGGTTCGTTTTTTTCTATGTACTGAATTCAAAGTAAATCAAGCTGTTTAAGCAAAAGACAACAACAACATGAAACTAAATCGTTAAAGCATCCTTGTTTTTGTTCTCCTCTTCAGTGAGAATCATTTAAGTGCACATGTCACCTTTTCAAACTCATAATTTACTCTATTTTATTGCATTGTCTCCTGTCTGTAAATATTACAAAAATGCCAAATGGTGACTTTTGAAAAAAACTAACTATTACTAGGTTAAACTTAGCGAGTAATGGTTTCTCTCAGAACTGTCTCAATTATGTTTAGGGTTTACATGGTTGAAAAAATACTAACAGCTGGAAATCGCCATCCAAATGAGCTGTGTCCTTTAAAAGTCCCTTATCTTTTTTTTTCTTCTTATAGTAGAAGCTTTGACTATAAGTACAACTATTCATTCCATCCACATGTTAAATTTGTTGCCAGTTTTTTTAACAAAAATCGTCATAGTTGATGTGAGCCACCAACAGATTGTGTTGATCTAAATTACTAATTACTATCAAATACATAATCTTTTTACCAATTCAAACTAATTGAATGACTTATTGTGAGCTATAGCAACGGTTATGACCATCAACCTGGCCAGCAACCAAAAATAAGGTAGAAAATAGAGTTTTAGTCACTGGCGCATTCTGCGACTGGCTCACACAATGTTCTTTTTTTAAATTGGCTACAGCTGATCCATATAGATGCGACGTCTACTTCAGTATCCAATAGTCGATGGTAGAAGTTTACTTTAAGCTCTGATCTAATTGGAGTTAAAGAAAATATTCAACAGATCCGGGACAAATTATTGGCAGTTTTAAGTCCTAAAACAGGACTAAATATTTTGAATAATACTATAAATATTAAATTATCTTGTGAATGCATTAGTGTAGACCATTTATATATATAACTAGCTGTAACCCGCGGGCTTTGCCCCGTTTAACTTCTTAATTTTCAAGATTATCTCGTTCGCATGGCTCAATAACGTCCTGGTTGAAGTTTGTTCGCTACGCTCACTCACCTTTACGTTGGAGCTCGTTCGCTACGCTCACTCACCTTTAGGTTGGAGCTCGTTCGCTGCGCTCACTTGCCTTCAGGTTAGCTCGTTCGCTACGCTAACTCGCCTCCAGGTTGAAGTTCGTTCGCTACGCTCACTCACCTTTTGGTTGCAAATTAGCTATTGTCATAAATGTAAAAGAAATAATAGTGCTGCACCCTGTTGGTAATCCTTGTAACTTTAATGCTGTTGAACATCATAGAACAGAACCAACTTGTTTAATTGAAACAGCTGTTAAGATTCAATAATTCCATTTCTCATAAGGTTAACATGGGAAACTCTAGAGCCACTGGGGCGGAGCCCGAAAGGATTTTTGAAATAAGAATATGCCTATATGTTAATCGGGAATGTGAGCTATCATCATGCCAAATTTCAGCCCAATCCGACCAGTATTTTTCGAGTTTACTTTTCCCATACACACATACACACATACAGCAACCACCTCTTTTTTATAATAGTATATATAGATAGATAGATAGAATATACACTAGGTAGTAAACACAAATTAAACATATAATCCTTATTTAATTTACTTATTTGTATCAATCATTTAACAAGAGGGATTAGTTTATTATTATGACTTTAAACTCCCTTCCCATACAAACTGGTCTTTTTAAACATGATTGTTGGCCTCCACTATGGTATTTGTTTATAAATATTCCCTCTCCCCCACCAGGTATGTATCTACGTTAAGCATGTTGGCTTAATAGCATGACACTATGCTTGTTTGTTTATCTTATGCTTTGTTATATTTTTATTTCCAGAAACCAGCCTTACTCAAACAGTATCTTCTGTAGATTATATCGTTAGACTGAAATGACTCTAATAACCACTGATTGTGATTTTCAATCCTCATGGATAGGCTTTCTCAGTCATGTCATATTGTAGATTTGCTGTCTTTAGATTACATTGTGATTTTTAGTTAGGTACATAAGTGAACTGTTATATTAAATAAGTAAAATTAAAAGTGTTGACAATTTTACATGGATTTAACAAGAAATCACAACATCTCAAAATTACTTTTTATGCAAGACATTATTTAATTAACTTAATTAAAAATACTTAAAATTTAAACATAGCCATTTTTATGTTTCTTAAATTATTCATCGCTGATTGAGCATGATATTTGGCACATTCCATTCAAAAGTGTAAATTATCTCATAGATTAATATTTCATGAATCTTTTCATGAATATTTCAAGGCTCGTACATACCAATACCAACGATATAAACAACTCATGGATCGCTGGCTCAGTGTTGGCCGCGCGGTCGAGCTTCCCCCACCATCTACTGGCAGAAGCCGACGCAGCCCATACATTCACCATTATAAAACACACTTTTTATTAGCTGCACTGTTGAAATTTATAGGGATAAAATATTGCTAACGCTTGTCAAACTCTTTTTACTAGTTAAACCTTTTATGTCTGTTTTGTTTCTTGCAGAAAATAACCCATTTGAATTCTTTAAAACTACAAATTCACTAAACCCGTTTTGTAGATGTTTTTAGACAACTGATATTGCTAGTTCCAAATTGTACATGGTAAAATAATAAGTTTAATATAAGTTTAAATAATGAAGTTTACAAAGGAGAAATAGAAAGTACAATATTTGTGTTTGAAATTCTATTTTATTATTTGAAAAAATAGTACATAAACATTTAGAATAATTTTGCTAAGTTTTTGCCGCAGTGGTAACGTAAATGTTTGACGTAAACGCGATATTTTTTTTCTTTCAATGTTTAATGACAATGTGTCTTACAAAATAGGTCATAAAAAAGTATGCCTATCACGTTAATGTCAAGCATAGATTTGCGGTAAAAACTGGACAAATGTAGTAGGGTTTTTAAGAGTTCAAATGTGTTATTTTCTGCACAAAAAGAAGAAGACATAAAGTTTAGAATAGTAACAGTTTTTGGCATGTATTAGCAATATTTTACATCTATATATTTAAACAGAGCAGCAACTTAAAAAGGCGCGTTTTACAATGGTGAGAGTATGGGCTGCGTCGGCTACTGCCAGTAGATGGTGGGGGGAGCTAGACCGAAAACAGCGCCCGCAGTGCTACTGAGAGCGCAATCCAGTAGTTTTTACATCGTTGACCAATACTGGATAGGTAACAATTTAGAAAATATCTCTTCAGATATGGAACTCAAAAATAATTCACCCTAGTCCTTGTTGATCACTGATTTTAACTCTAAAACTGGCACTCTTTTTGTAATGGTATGCCAGGAGGCCAAAATTTATTTGCATTGGAATTAATAGTTTGCCAAGCCCTGTTAACTTCAAGCGTCCATATTTTGTTCTTTCTCTATAATAACCCCAAATTGAATTTTTTTTTTTATAGAAACACTCTAAGGGACAGAAATAAATGTTAGGTTGCCTTTCTTTGTAAAATATAAGAAACCAGTAGGAGGAAAGTAACCACTAAAAAAGGCTGCTAAACGAATATTTTAACTAACTAATGGATTCATCAATGCCAAAATGATCCATAAGTTGTGGGATGAGCTTACCAACTATCTTCCTCTCCATAATGGACTCTCCTTCCTGCTAAGAATTAATATTAATACTTAAAAAATCACCAGTTCAGTTTTTTGATGGTTTTAAACTGGACCCAGCTATCAAGGACACCTTAAAGTTGGGTATTAAATAAATGGTCCTAGCCCTAGCTAATGAAACAGTTAACCTTAATCAGTAACAAAGCTACTCAAGGCATCCCGCTCTATTCTACACTCATTCTTCACTCATATTTGAGTTAAAATATTAGAGGTGTGTGGATAGTGAAATTTCAGTTCGGATCGGGTTGGATAGTTAAGACTCGGTTCGGATCGGATTGGATAATTAGAGGTTCGGATTTGGATATTTTAAGATTTGGATAGTTTGAGAAAGATAGAAAAAGTGAACCAGGACGTCCTCGTTGTCTTCATTCTTGTCTTGTATTTTGCCAATCCACCACTTCTCGTCATAAATACACGCTATGTTGTCTTGATTGTAAAAGGATTAAGTGTTAGTGAACTGTATTGATGTTGGCTGGTCTTCGAAATGTGTAGATTTTGATTTTTGAAAACATCTGATTTGGTTGTCACTTAGCGGGAAAAACCTATGGTAATTTCTTGTGCCTGTTACAGGCAAGCAGCATTCAAACCTGCCTACCTTTAAGTTGATCTTCCCATTCTTCAATTTCTCTCGATGTAACATATATGTATTTTATACCCGTAAATTTTTCAGTGCACAATTTAAACATTTCTTATGGGTTCAGTATTTGGTTTTGATACAGTCTTTGCATACTAGCTCGAGTTACTTCTCGTATCTTGCCATGTGAGGAGTTCATAGA